AACTACGGTTATAAAATAAAATAAAATATCAACAAACGACCTGCGGAGCTGTCCACTTGGTTTTGTTTCCTACAAGTTTAACAGTCAGTAATTCTCGAATGTTAAAATTTTTTATTTCATCATACTTCTAACACATTTTTCTACACAACATTGTAATTTCAAAACTGTAAGTTCCTAGGTCGTATAATTTTTGAAGTAGAACACGTTGTCGATTTTTGAGTAACGTTAAGTTGAACATCCAAAACAGCGGCAGTTACACTTCCGATTTTAGAATAAAGAGAGAAATTAAGCCCAAAATCAAAATTTCAATACATGCATTTCCAAAAATTCTTTATAGCAATATTTATTTTTAGAGTGTTTTCCCCCCCCCCATTTGAAACCGTTTTTAAGTGCTCAGCGCATGAATTTCAAGACATGGCAATGATAAAGCTTTTCAAGCAACTATCTCGAATAAAATAGGATTTTAAATCGTGGCTTCCGATGAACTATGATCCCTAGTGAGAGGGAATGCTGACACGAAATTAGAACTCAGGTCACAAACTCGAAAAGGTCACGTGATTTGTGGAAAGTTCACGACGCTGTTGCCCCTGCCCTCCGTAGGAGGTATTATGAATGAGATAGTACAATTATGAAATTTTTTATGGAGGATATTAAGATATTTCTCGTTTTTTTTTTTCTAAATTTCTCGTTGGTTGAAAACATCATTATAAAGTTTTTTTAATGAAAATTGTTGCAAAATAAGTCAACATTAAAGTCTTAATCATTTTTATTTGAACTGAATTTGAAAGAAAAAAAATCATTAAAAACATACTTTTAAGATATTTTATTACTGTACGCCTTTTATTTCTTCCTCACAAAATACTTTATAGTTCATATTAAAATAAAAAATGTTACATTTATTTATTAATTAAATTCGCAATTTTTTTCTTTATTTATCCACGCATATTTATATATTTTTTTGTTACGCCTTTTTTGATAAGTGAAAAACGTATTGTAGAAGCCTTAAAAAAAACTAATGCTTTTTTTTTAAAGCTTTTTTTGAAAACTTGTGATTTGCTAAATAAAACATAAAAATAAACAAATAAATAAATAAAATGAAATCATTCTAATGAAAGAATAAAAATTTTAATTATTCATCATTTCCGTTGCGAACTTTTTTTAATATTTAAGTTGCAGTGGTGCAAGGAAATATTTTTTTTTTAAATTACAAAATGTGAAAATATTTGCATGTCAAATGCATGCACAAATCTGGAAAAAAAAATCTTTGTCACAAAATTATGTCAACTTAAAGTGTAGTTTTCGTATCATAATTTGTTCACCCGAAAATGTATTATATACAGTAAAAAACTCACTGACGTTGTGGTAATATGTATAAAGGGGATGGGCAAAATCATGGAAACTCTTCTATATTAATCCTATGTAAACAATCTTCTGAGACGAACATACATTGTCGAACGTATAGAGAGATTTTGCATAGATTTACGGGTTGTACGCTAACGCTATCTGAAAACCACAAGAGGATGCGCGGAAGCTTCTCTGCAAAGAACTGTATCCCAAAATGTACAAAATAATGTCAGCGTTGCTGTCAACGCAATGCAAAATCTGTCAATAGTCTTTATTTAAGCTATCGCTAGAAGTTCTTAAACTATATAAAACGTGTTTCGCACAAAGCCACCCCATTAAAAAAAAAATCCTAATAAAAGCAAATTTAAGTTTCTCAGTTTGAAATTTTACAGAATTTTGTTTAGAAAAAGTACCTATGTACCAAGTTTATTAAAGTTGAAAGCGGTTAACTGGATATGGATTTGAAGACAAGTCCATTAAGGATTGTCAATCGGTTGGTTATACATAAAAGCGAATGCAGATCGAACCATTGCATCATGGAAGTTTTTTCATCAATACATGGGTTCTAACTTAACTATATTGCCCCTTAAATTAATCTTTTTTCATAATTTTGTTGTACAAAATACCATCATTTTCGTTCAAACCTTAACGCAATTTTTTTAATAAGAGTGACTTGAAGGTGCTATTCGAATTTCATTCTAAATATAAGACGAACGCTATAAAGGAATCAAATAACAGTTCATAAATTACTTTTACAGATAATTTTTATGCAATCCTTTCTCTATTCTACACGACAAAAAATTCCGGATCAAATTATGGAATACAGTACCAACATTTTGGGTTCCTCATCCGTTAAACCCATTAACCGTAAAATCCATTTTTACCATAAAATATTATACCGTAGTTTTTTTATCGTAATATTTATTTAATTAGAGTGATTCAGTGATTTTACGGTAATTATTACTGTAAAAGTTATGGTCTATCAGATTTTTTGTTCCGTAATATGTTCCAGTAATTATAGATTTTACGTTAAAAAATACCAGCACCCTGAGTGTAGGTACTTTGAACCGGAGTTTCTTACAGTGCATCATTAAACAGTATAAATTTAGTTAGAGCTATATTTAATTCTTTGTGGTAACGATGCTCTTTCACTAACCTGTGGCAACGTTAAAGTGGAATTAAATCGCATTTGACGTCAAGACATCGTCTGATTTTTTTGCTTCTGGCAAACATAATGGATCCAATGGACAATAATTGATGATTTAAACAACAACGTTCTTGTATAACATGGTATGTAAGTTTTTCTAAAAATTTGGACCTGAATGAGATATTACTAATCACTCACCCACGGGTTTCCGAAAAAACATTTTTAGTCAATGGTTGCTTTCTTTCCAAAAATTAAAAAGAGGGCTTTTGGTTGTTCCTTGTTTCAGACATCATCCAAGAGAGTAATTAACTCAGAGAAATTTGAACTTGGATTTCTTAAAGTAATTAGTCAGGTTAATAACCATGTAAGTACACGCTTATTTACTCTTGCAATATGTATTTATCAGCGTGATTGTGTTATGTAGCTTACGATGAAATCATTCAAATCAATTACGTCATCATTTAAATCAAACTAAATTTTATACTGTTAAAAATAAATTCTTGATGGGGGAAAGAACAGTTGCGACTAATAAGTTGCCGGGAATTTTATTAGTCTGCTCAAGTTTATGTTGTAGATGAAAAATCTTCAAAAATTCTGTTCGCAGACATTTCTGTTCAAAATCAGTGGTGTAGTAAGCTGGGGGTAAGAGGGAACATCTGTACCCAAACTCGGCCTTAAGGGAGGAACTGAACTCATAGAAAATAATCAAAAGCGAATTCCAGAATAAAATGTTTTTCTCTTTTAATTCTTCCCAGTTTCATTTGCTAATTATAGATTCCACATCTTCTACAAATTTTTATCCGATTTACCTATAAATAGAACATGATGTCTATCACTATTGTAGATTAATCTGAAAGTAGATTTACTTTTTAAAATTTTTTTTTCTCCAACGAATTGATGATATACTGGTTAAAAAAATACGTTAGTAACAATTCATTAGTAAATGTTCGATTTTAAGCAGAGCCGAATGAACCTTGTAAAGTTGCCTCTATGTTCTTTGAGAAAAAAAAAATATTTATATTTGCAAAATCGTATTCGATATGAAGTTCAATTAACGAGCAAAGTTTATACATAATTTAAAACTTAAAATGGTTCCAAAAAGCTTCCTTTAGCATGACATCATAATGCAAGAGAGCGCCAAAATTAAGTATGCTTCCTGGCTCTGTAAACCCTAACTATGCTAAAATGCATCTAGCGGAAGGCTGTAGTGATGTAATATTCTATGTTAATCAATGTACAAGAAGAAAAAAACTGGTAAAATTACCGTAAGGATATTTAGGGTAATAAAAAGACATAATTCTGGCTAATAAAAACAAAATCTACGGTAATTAAACCCTTCATTTGGTGATTTTTCCGTTTATATGGTAATATTTATGGAATGGTAATTATGGTAATGGTTTACCGGAAATTCTGCTTTTTAAAATTACAGTTCTTATTATTACACATTTACTAAAAAATTCAAAACAGAAAAGTAAATTTAACCGAATAAATGGTTCTTATGACAGGCTTTAAGGTATCATGATGAAATTACCACATTTACCAAAATTTATCACATATTATGAAACCTTATTTTATTATAAACCATATTACCAAAATCTTTACCAAAACGTTTCGAAGTGCAAAAAAATTACCGATTTTTTTTTATCTTTTCATTAACTAGAAACACGGTAAATGTTACCATATTCTTGAAGCCATACTTTTTTTAAGTATAGAGTTAAGTAAATACTAATTTACCCCATTCTTATCGTTATTAGGAATATTGTTTTTTGTTTCATTTTATTCTTTCGAATGAGACTAAATTACAAATTTTAATTTTCAACGTTTTTAAGTATTTTTGAATTAAAAAAAATAATACTTCAAACTTTTTTACACTTTTTTTTAACGAGGCTGTTTTACTACATAACAAACATGTTTTGTCCCCTGATATCCAATAAGAATGTGTAAAGTTTGAGATGAAAGTTTCAAATAATTAGCTCTTAGACTTAACGTTTCCTTTATTTTAGAGTATATGCAGACCTGTTCTACGTTCATATTTTAATTAATTTTCAAAAGAAAAGAAATAGTTTTAAGATAAGAATGTTCTAAAATTAGATTTCGAATTTTTAAAAAATTAAACATTACATATACTTACTTATTGGCTGAAGATATTTAGACAAAAAAGTTTTAATTTGTCAAATTTAAGTATTATCTTTCACAAAATTAAAACATATCGATATAGTCTTAGGGTTATAAGTTGTTCAATAGCGATATTTTGTAGGTTGTATAAAATTACGCTCTTCTGAATACAATTTTATACACCATATTACCTATTATTCAATTACTTATTGATTATTATTAATTACCTATTATTGTATATTATTTTTTTATTTGTCCATTTTTAATTTTTAATTTTATTTTGCGCTGCCATTTTAAATGTTTGCGTAGCGTTTTGTTACTAATAAAGAAAAGAATTTTTAATTTTTTTTTTCTCTTTTAGTAACTACAGAATCTTACGAAGAAGCTAAAGGAAGAAAAAAGAAAATCCAATCTAAAGAAGCCTGAGCAAACAGCTTTAGGAGTCCCATTTCTATCACATTGTTTTGGAGGGTTTAGACAACAGTGTTGTCATCTTATGCACACAGCATTTTGTGTAACAACATTTTGTTTGCTGCCGCGGCTTTGTCATTCTTTTTAGTTGTTAAAAGTAGACAGTTTGTGCGTGGGTGACTTAAGAGGCGTCAATTTTGACACACGCCCTACCTGGTGGGAGGAACTTTTAACGAAGTTGCAGAGTTTTATTTTTAATTTTCGTTCTACATTTTTTTAAAAAACCAAACGATACTTTGTCAGCTTATCTAAACCTATTGGAATCTATTGATTGTTTTTAACCTCAAACTCAGACGATCACTGTTTCGCAGACGATGATTCAAGAAAACGAGATAAATTAAGATAAATGGGACAAAATAGCTTCGAAATGAATAACACAAGCTAGAAGAGGTGGTGTTTAAATGGCCTATTTAGAATCGATCATTAATTACAGTTTCCGATTGAGATGATGTCGTTATAAATAAATCGAATCAAGATAAAAAGAAGAGAAACATTCGAAGTTAAAGAATGAAAAAAAATACCACCTTTGATCTGAACTTCAAGATTGATAACATACGTTCTGCGAAGCGGTTACAGGTGTTAACAAAGACAATCAATTTATCATTGTTTTTAAATGCCCAAGAGCTGCAGAAAGCTAACATGGTATACTCTGTTCTTTTTTATATTTATTTCTTGAGAGGTTTCATTACTATTTTTTTATTTGAATTACAATCGCATAATCAATTGGAACTTTAAAATATAATTGCAAATATTTTCATGACAGATCTAGAATTAAATAAGAACAACGTGAGCTAGAGCATGTTGATGCTTCTACCTTAAAATTTTACTGAAGATCAAAATTATGGCTGATTTTTTGACTGAAATAATATTTGACTTGATTTTTGAATATAATAAATGTTAATAGTTTTTTGTCCAAATATAGTCTTTCAGGGAAGGAATTATGAATAATTTCAGCTTAGAGCCCCAGAGAATTGCAGATTCTCCCCCAAAATCATAATATCTTCTTTTTTTTTTAAAGATAAATTCTTAACACCTCCTTAAAATTGCTTTCCAATTTATTATTATTTTCCATTTGTATTCTGGTAATTTTGGATTTATGTCCAATATTTAAGAAAACTAATAACTTCATGTTTATTTTTGTAATTAATATTTTTCTCTTCCCCTTTCAATAACTTTTTTTTATGCCTTCCTTTTACAAATATTCAGCAATTTTCTGCAGTTGCCCAAATTCTTACAATAATTTGAAGGTACATAAATTTTCAGTTTAAAAAATGAAAATTTTTTAAAAATTTATATGCGTGTAAAAGATTTTTAAATTTTTTTTATTTTTTTAACATTGTCAAATAAAAAAAAACATTTTTAATCTTTCATTCATTTTTACTTTTTTATGTGACCTTTAAGTACTTTTATAAGTGAAATGAATGAGCGTAAAAGTCGTTTCTTTGATAACTTTGTTACCTTCAAAGGTGTTGTGTTGGGCAATAAAACAGAAATTCTACATTATAACCTCATCACTATCAATATACATCTTAACTATATTTAAGTTTTTACATAAATAATAAGTTCAACAACCAAGTAATATTATCAAATGCTATTAATTTGATGTTTAATTATCAGCAATAAAAAATGACAGTTTGTTCTTGGAGTATAGAGAATAGATTTGAATCTATAATGACCCCTACCTTCAATAGTTTAAGACCCCTCCAAGCTTAGCAAAGTCCTTAACAAATATATGGAAAATTCAGTACACAAGACAATTATGCTCCCTTGCAGTCGTCTTCGAAATTCTCTTAACTATAAATGAACAAAAAATTTTATAAAATCTCATAAACAAATCTTATCCAGATATTTCAAATAGTTCTTATGAGGTTGGAAAACCTTACAAACACAAACAATTCTTAGTAATTATGAAAAATTCCGGAAAATTTACCACTTCTGTTTTGACTTGATTCCCGATTATTCTGTATGAGGGTTTATTTTGAAATTAATTTTGTGATTCTATTGTCATTCATTTTTTCTAACTTGTTTTTTATTTTGAGTTTCAATATCTGATAAGATGTATTCTGATAATGTGTAATTCTGTAGTATATCTGATATATAAACATATGTGTATTTAAACCAATCAATTCGTCTGTTAAAGTCTTTTAAGCGACAAAATGCTTTTGTATATTTTATAAATTGTTCGATATAAAATTAATTTGATGAACAGTTTTTAATCACTTCAATGATATATTTACGTTGATTTTTCTTAGATTAATGTTATCCAAGCAGTTTTATAGGAGATAAAAGGAAATTATAAATTAATGCAGAGACAATAAGCCATATTTACATTTTAAAACAGAATTTCGTTTAAAATTTGAAAATGGAAAATACACTAACAGTCTTTCCATAACAAAGCATTATTTCCGAGAAAAAAAATTAAAAATATAAATTTATTTTTTGGCAAAAAAATTTACGAATCATCTTGAAATATCATGTTAAGACAAAAGTTGACACTCCAAACATTTTCGTTCCTAATCCCTTAAAAGAAAAATGAATTTTTACGGCAGATGTGTATTATCTTTGTTTGTGGAAGCATGTAAACATCCGCATTTGTCTGATTCCGCGGTTGTATCCTTTCGTAAACATTAGTATCTCAAGATTAAACACACGTTTCAAGCTTGATATATTTGTCATCTGAAGTCGATATACGTGCGTTTATTTGAACAACTAGTTACTAAAACCTTGATAAATCTCCTTCAGATGGAAATGCTGTTTGTATGCTCATCATGACGTAAAGCCAAAATCATATGAACATAAAAACTTTTTGAATGAATATCAGACATTTTCTTAGATCATAAATCTGTTTTTTCTTTTTAGTTATTTCATTATGGCTATTATTATTTCTTATAATAAAATATGATTTTTCTTATGATTAATTTGTGATAATTATGAATATTCAATTTCATTATGATTGTTTTATGTTACATTTTCATAATTAATTATACTTTGATTATTTCTAATAATTTATTTATTATGATTATTCCTTATAGTTTGGTCATAATGGTTCACGTTTTTTCTAATTAGTTAGTGATAGTTTTGATCTTTTTTCCAAATTAATTATTTTTGGACATTATTTTCTTTTAGGATTAATTCATTTTACTTGTTATTACTCGATATACATTGCTTAAATACAGAAAAAAATGCTGGGTATCCGTAAGTGACGTTTTTATTAAAAAATATTTGAATTCCTCGTATCTCTTGATATTGAATGATATCATTGTACTTGTTATTACTCTATATATATTGCTTAAATACAGAGAAAAATGCTGGGTATCCGTAAGTGACGTTTTTATTGTAATTTTTTATTAATTCCTCGTATATCTTGACGTCGAATGATATTAATGATATCATTATCGAATGATATCATTAATCGAAACTCTCCATTTTAGGATATCATTGTTGATGACCAATAAATACACTTTTATTTTGTATTTTCTTTTAGTCCTATATTTTTTGCATTAAAACTTCCCTCCAATTTATTATCCTGGTCTATTTAGTTTGATGTCTAGTTTCGTACAAATTTAACTTATTTATTATAACTATAAACTCATTTCATAATTTTCATTTTATATGAACATAGAACTCAACTTAAAGTCAAGGATCTTGATTTTATACTATAATTTTACCTACGCAGACTAAAAAATACTGTATTTCTTTGCGAAAAATCAGTTATCATAGTTTTAAATAGTTATCGATATCAAAACGTGATTTTCACAATCACTATCTTTCCTAAAAGATATGAAGTACTTATCTCCTTTAAATAAAAAAAAATATGAATAGACTATAAGGGTACTTTTTATATTAGAAATTTAGAATTCCCTTGTCAAAATTCAAAATAAACAGAAGTTTATTACCAACACTTTTCCAGGAATGAAAATATATGCATTGTTTGTCGGTAATTTAGAAACAAATTGCAACTTTGGCAGCTGGATTTTGTTTCTCAATAAGTTTTGTCTTCAATGCATAGCGGTAATAAACTAGCTCTGGAATTAAACACATATTGGGTTGAAATAAAGCATTGGAATCCCAATATTTACCATTTCGATGATAAATATTTGGTAGAATTTTTCTCAAGTAACGCAATTGCTGTTTCTAAGTAGTTCCCATAAGCAAACTCAAAAACCTTAATAAATTTCCATCCTATGAATTAAGTACATAACGCAAATTTTCAGAATTCAGCTTCGCGGATTAATTGTTCATCGCTGATGAAAAAATAAAATGTGATTCTCGGATCATAAAAAGTATAATTCACAGATTTTTAAAATAAAAGAAAGATAATTTTATTTAACTTGATTGCAAAAATTTTAAAGTATAATATCGAAGAGACTCTGAATACAATCGTGGAGCAGTACTCACGAGTACTACTTTCGTTTACCACTTTTTGTATAATTTAAATCCTTAAACTAATATCTATTAACAGCAAGTTGAATTAAAAAATTTTCATCCTAAAATAAGTATATTTCTTTTGCGAAAGTTTTCATGAAATTTTTATTTCTCGGAAGACTCTCTTCAATAATAGATTAAAAATCTCCTCATTTAATCTCCAAAAACGCATTGTGAACTACGGCTTTCATGGATTTATTTTTTAAATATATGGTCAAAACTACCGGAAAATGGTAAAATTTATCGTGTTCCTGCCTCTATGGGAACAATAAAAGGCTCGGTTATTTTTACCGAGCTCTTTAGCAATCATTTTGATAAAATCAACCATTAAATATAGAGTTATAACGTATGATGAAATTTAGTAACTGCGACGAAATTTGATACTTTTATCATGATACCCATGAGCATGGCATAAAAATCATTTATTCGGCAAAATTTACTTTTCAGTTTTGTATTTTATACTAAATGTTTGGTATTAAGAACTATAATTTTTAAAACCAGAATTTCTGTGAGTCCCTTATCACGTGAATAATACCATAAATTTTAGTTTCATTACAAAAAGTGTTTTTTTTAAATTTTTATTTTATTTTTTAAACCAGAAACGTCATTATACAGTACGTAAATTTTACCAGAATCGTTTTCTCTGAGTAATAACATCTATGTATAAAAACGACGATTTCTACTTACTTTTTTGTTATTTGTAAGAAAAAAATATATTCTGAACTAAATTGTTATTTAAATGAAACTTTAACAATAATCGTCCGATCGTTATAAATTTATTCATTATTATCTTCAATGAATTACTCTATTCAGTACAAATCCATATCTGTATTTGGTCCTAACTGATCTAAGCAGTTAATCGGTTCCTTTTCTGATTCAGCCATTTTTCCCTCCGTTCCTTTCAGAATTCCCGCACTAGAGTAATGAATCCAAGATCTCACATCTTTATCTTCTTTTTCTCCGATTTGATGCAGAGGAAATGTTACAAGCGAGATGAAAAGGAGGAAATCGAGGATGATTAAGAATATGATGCGTATAAAATCTTGATAGATGAGGGGAAAGAACCCGGTTCTCGAACAATCTGGTTCTATCCGATTCTTTAAGAGGATTTAACCTGTTTCTGGAGATCTTGAATCAAAGCAGAGTATCTTGGATTGTGTTATCTATAAAGGGACACTATGAGATCTGCTTTTCTGTTGATTTAATATGAAGTTTTT